GCTTTGTCAAGCCTGACCTGAAAAGAAGGAGGGAGTTCTGATGATCTGAAAGGAACAAAATAACTCCATTCACAAGGATCCATCTTTCACTCCGAAACTTTATTTATTTGTTTTTAAACCCTGCAGCACGTGTTTCCGATCAGTTTTATTTTGAACTCCTTCCTGGGGACCCACTGCCCTAAGGGCCAAACACAGCCCCACCCTCCTCAGTTGTGGAGGCCTCCTGTGTTGCAGCACTGCGGGTGCTGGTGAATGCTGGAAGCAGAAGATCTACTTGTGCGGGATAGGTGGGCTGGTGAGGTACACCTTTGCTTGGATCCTCCTGTTCAACCCCTGCAGAACCGGGCTGTGTAAAAGCCCCCCTCCCCTGTAGGTAACTTGCAGCCATTCATTGGAATAATTTCTGCAGAATAGCTCCATACCTACAACACAAATGGGAACAGGAATTAGAATGGGGGATGGACTTTTCATTTTTCCCTAGGTACATATCCACTTTACTTAGCCAGATGCTGGGTCTGGATTTTCCCCTTACTGCACACAAATAACTTCTTAAATATGCACTTTGCTTAATTTGTAAAGCAGAATTATGTCCTGCTTGATGTCAAAATGCAGGATTGTTGGATGTCAAATCCAGATGATGCAGAGAAGCCAGCAATATTTTTTTTCTTATTAATGATGTTCAGATATTAACATACTTTTCTGAAAGTTGAGATTAACTTGATTTATTTGGTGTAGCATAATATAATTAATGAGGCTAGAAAAGAAGTGTGTCTAGGGATTGTAGTGTAAATAGTTCTCTGAAAACATCCACTCAATGTGCAGCAGAAGTCAAAAAAGCGAACAGAATGTTGGGAATCATTAAGAAAGGGATAGATAATAAGACAGAAAAATATCATATTGGCTCTATATAAATCCGTGGTATACTCACATATTGAACACTGTGTGCAGATGTGGACTCCCCATCTCATAAAAGATATATTGGAAAAGTTTCAGGGCAACAAAATTATTAGATTTTAATAATAATAATTATTATTATATTAATTATTAATTATAATTAATATAATTAATTAATATATTAATTATATATTATATTATATATATATTAATTATATTAATTAATAATTAATTATAATTAAAATTATTATTATTATATGGACAGCTTCTTTATGAGGTGAGATTAATAAAATTGGGACTTTTCAGTTTGGAAAAGAGATGATTAAGGGGTGATATGATAGAGGTCTATAAAATCATGACTGGTGTGAAGAAAGTAAGTAAGGAAGTGTTATTTACTCCTCATAATACAAGAACTGGGGGTACCAAATGAAATTAATAGGCAGCAGGTTTAAAACAAACAAAAGGAAGTATTTCTTCACACAACGCACAGTCAACCTGTGGAACTCTTTGCCTGAGGATGTTGTGAAGGCCAAGACTATAACAGGGTTCAAAAAAGAACTAGATAAATTCATGGAGGATAGGTCCATCAGTGGCTGTTAGCCAGGATGGGCAGGAATGGCGTCCCTAGCCTCTGTTTGCCAGAAGCTGAGAATGAGTGACAGGGGATGGATCACTCAATGATTACCTGTTCTATTCATTCCCTCTAAAGCACCTGGTATTGGCCACTGTTGGAAGACAGGATACTGGGCTAGATGGAACATTGTTCTGACTCAGTATGGCCATTTCTATGTTCTTATGTTATGTCTCAATATAATTGTAAATGGGGAATCATCATCGAATGGGTTCGTTTCTTGTGCGTCCTGCAGGAATCTGTTCTGGTCCTATCTATGCTATCTAACATTTTTATCAATGACATGGAAGAAAACAAAACCACCCCTGACAAAGTTTGCAGATGACTCAAAATTGGGTAAGTGGTAACTAATGAAGAGGACAGGTCCCTGATACAAAGCAATCTGAGTCGGTTGGTAAACTGGATGGAATCAAACAATGTGTTTCAGTATGGCCAAATGAAAAGTCAGAGATCTAGGAACAAACAATCCAGACCATCCTTACAGGATGGGGTCTCTCTCCAGGGAAGCAGTGACTTGGAAAAAGACTTCGCTGATTATCCACCATAACCCCCAAGTCTGAGCTCCCAGTACGGTGGTGTGGCTAAAAGGGCTAATGCGCCCTCTTGGACACTCAAATTGATACTCGTGGGTTTTCATCAACAGGGTTGGAACCTTTTGATCCACCACACAGACCTCTGCCACTTGAGCTAACACAGTAACTGATAGCAGTAGTAGGTTGCCATCCTTTATGTGGACGAGCATTCAAGGGGACTGAGACACACTTTGCCAGTGGGTTTCACAGATATTTGCTGATAGCAGAAGCATGGTGCGACTCCAGAAACTTGGGCTCCATTTCAACCTTTGGAGGAGTTTGTGTTCTAGTGGGCACCAACATTTTTTGCCCAGTCCCCACCAACCTGTCCTTGTCCCAGTCCTGTCTCTTTCTCACCCCTGGCTCTTTGTCCCCGTCCCAATAGCCACTCCTCAAGCTACTGATTCCAGTCTCCTTGACCAGCCAGTCCTAGTCTTCCCCACCGGGCTTGCTGTCAGAGCCTCAATCTCCCCACAACCAGGCCCAGTCTCTTTGACCAGCCAGTTCTGTTTTCCTCCTCCCAGCTCCTTGTCTAATCTCTCTCCTTCTCCACTAGCTCCAAGTCTTAGTCTCCTTTCCTGGGCTCCTCATCCAATCTGTCTGCCCTCACTGACTCCTTGTCTCAGTCTCTTCACCCAGCCAGTCCCAGTCTCCCCCTTTCCTCCAGCTCCTTGTCCAATCTGTGTCTCCCTCCCCCACTGCCCCGCTAGTCAACTGGTTCCCATTCCCAGGCTTTCAGCCCTTCCCAGGCAGTTTCTTTCTCTTCCCTTCCCCTTCGGTTCCCAGTTTCACAAAACTCCTGTTGTCAACCTACTCCTTGACCTCCGAACCAGTTTTTGTCCCCTCTATATTTAGATCAAATGGCTTTTTCTTCAACACTGCCTGGTTCCTAGCAAGGGGGTCACTGAGAGCACAGAGGAGATAGACTCTCTACTCTTGCTTCTGGTGCCTAATCCCAACCCAACCCAGAGCAGTCATTACAGAGGAAGTCTGGCTTCACTCTTGTATAACTGAGCTGGAGGGAGCATGCTCAGTCACTCTGTGGGGATCATGTGTGCATAGTCTAGTTACACATAGGAGTTATGAGAGGCTTGACAATGCTCAGTGGGGATGGAATCTCAGATTTTAGCTGCTAAATCTAAGTAGACTCTATTCAGCATGTGCCTGTTTTTTTCAAAGGCTCATAACTTGGCCAAATTTGGGCAGATTTTAACAGGGATGGCAAAAGGCACATGACCCACACATGCCACCTCCTGCAGTATTTCAAATCCCTGCTCTAAAGTATAGAGGTGCTAGAGTATTTAAATAAAAGATCACCAGAATTCTTTAATGTGGGTAAAACAGTGTGTTTTTCACTACCCACTTTCTGGGAAACTGAACTAGCTGAACTGTTTTGACTGAAATGTTTCAGAAATGTTCAGCCTGAGGCAGACCCTGGTACGTAAAACTTCAGCCTGAATGGTAAAAGCTTGGCAAAGTTACAGGCCCACTGAAAACAGTGTCTTTTAATGGGAAGAGTCAGGTATTCAGATGAATAGGTTGTGTTACTAGCATGGTCTATAACACATACATAACACGGATTACAAGGATTTTGGAGGACAAGATTAGAATTCCAAAATGACCTGGACAAATTAAAGAATTTGGTCTGAAATCAACAAGATGAAATTCAATAAAGACTCATGCAAAGTAATTCAGATAGGAAGGAAAAATCAAATGTACAACTACAAAATTAGGTGGTCGTACTGGACTAGGTGATAGTGCTGCTGAAAAGGATCCGGGTATTACAGTGGATTGACAACAATGTGATGCCGTTGCAAAAAAGACTAATGTCATTCTGATGTGTATTAACGGGAGCGTGGTATATAAGGCACAGGAGTTAATTGTTCCACTTTACTCAGCACTGTGAGGCCTCAGATGGAGTATGGGGTCCAATTCTGGCACCATGATTTAGGAAAGATGTGGAGAAATTGGAAAGAGTCCAAAGAGAAAAGGGACAAAAAATGCTAAAAAGCTTTAAAAAAAAAATAACCCTGAACTACGAGAAAAGGATTAAAAAAACTGAGCATCTCTAGTCTTGAGAAAAGAAGACTGGGCAGAACCTGATAAGTCTGGAAATGTGTTAAGTAGGATGTAAAAAGTTAACCGGTAAGCATTAGTCTTACCAGTTAACCTGCCTTAACCGTCACCCCCGGGCCTGCCGGCCGGTCAGAGCAGCCCGAGTGGCCCTGCGCTGGCCAGAGCAGCCCCAGCCCCAGCCGTGCTGGCCAGCGGGCTCGGCCCCAGCTACTTAATCGGTTAACCGTTTAAACAGCATACTGTATTTTTAATCATTTAAATAGTTAACTTTTTAAACGGTATTTACATCCCTAGTGTAAAGCGCTATTATAAAGAGGGTAATGATCGATTGTTCTGCATGGCCATTGAAGGAAGGACAAGAAGTAATGGGTTGACTCTGCATCAATGGAAATTTAGGTTAGATATTAGGAAAAACTTTCTAACTATAGGGGTAGCTAAGCTCTGGAATAGGCTTCCAAGGGAGGTTGTGGAATCCCCATCACTGGAGGTTTTTAAGAACAAGTTAGACAAGCACCTGTCACGGATGGTCTAGGTTTTCTTGGTCCTGCCTCCAGTGCAGGAGGCTGGACTTGGTGACTTCTCAAGGTTCCTTTCATTTTACATTTTTATCATTCTATGTGATCCCCATTGATTTGAATGAGAGTTCCATGTGTGTATGAGTGCAGCATTTGGTCAGTAACTTGTGAAATATTTTGGGATAATATGGAAAGAAGGGTGCTGTGCTAAACATAATACTTAACATGTATATATGGCTGGATATCTACTTTAAGAGCTTATTTCAGTTTTATTTTAAATTCAATTTAAGTGGTCATATTTATTTTTTTTAGTTCTAAGTGTCTGAAGAAAATAAAGAAACATGGATAGCCATAAATAGTAAGTAATTTTATATTTTTAACCTGTCTCACTAATAAAATTAGAAGACACATGCTGAAGTGTTGCTGTCAATAATTACCATGCTTTTTATATCTTGTCATTCAATCTTTGACATAAAATCCCCAGTAAGGACAGATTGGGGGAAAAAAACTGACTGTCAGGTGATCGAAGAATGGAAAAACAAATGAATGGACTAGATGAAAAACAAATATGTTAGTTATTAATCTTCTGTTTTATAAACAGAGTTGGATTTATCCACATCATTTAACTTTATAACTAAAGTAGATACTTCTTTAGTTATAATTGTTGTTAGGTTTTGTTAAATGATTGTAAAATTTAAACATATGTTCATGATTATTCACTGTATAATAACCCAGGTTGACAATTTACAGTACTGAATAAAGTTGTTCGCAAAAACTGTGTCCTGTAGTACAGAGGCTTTTTCTGTTCAGCTATCCTATCTTCAGAATATACGGGCAACACCTAATTCCTCATAAGGTACACTTTAAAAATTATGTTCAAATCTCATGTATAAACGGGAGTAATTTTTTTTTCTCAAAGTTCAATTTAAAAATGTAGTTTTTCCATTGTATTTAAGAAATTGATAAAGGGTTATATTCCCCTGATTTCTTCAAAATTTGGCTATTATCTAAGAATTCTCTAAAACCATAACTCTTATTAAATCAATTTTCCTTTTTGTTATATGACATTTGTAGCCCAACTGTGCACCCATTGAATTCCCTTTGACCTCAAAGGAAGTAGGAATGTAAGCTGAAACACTGGGGTCTTGATCCTATGTTGTGATCTGCTCCGGTACTGCCTCACTGATTTTAGTGAGGCACAATGGTCTGCCTGTTCTGACCACAGTGCTGGTCTGAGACTTGAGGTATCGCAAAACATGAATTATAAACTTTCATTTCCCATTTAGTCCTTTTAATAAAATATATGTTTTGAAAATGTTTGTTTTTATGAATGTGTGGGTGTGTTTTATTTAATTTTACATTTTTCCTTGAAGTGATTTTGAAATCATTTCTATTTTGAATAATTTTAAGGGACATTGTCATTTTTGTTATAGATAAAACCTGACTTACTTTGAGAATTAAGACCCTGGTTCTCCAAAGAGATCTCTTTGGCAAATTCTTATCTTCATTTAGATCTGCATGATGGGGATTTTTTGGATCCTCGGTTTAAAAATACTTTAATTGATATTTGCTGTATCATAAAATATACTACACCTTTCGCCTGACTTAATGTGCTATCCCTTGTCAATACGTATGCAATTAGTTTACAAAGAGTTACACATGAAATTGGATTTGGCATGTTTTTGCATATATTGGGTAATTTGTGCTGCAGCAAAAAAGTAATTGATAACCTTATTTTTACTTTGGGATCTGCAATCAAATCGTACAAGTCAGTGTTTAGGTTGAATAAGATGTTTGAATTTCTCTATTGTAAATATTTTTGTGAGAGACAAAAAAAGTGCTCTGTGTTGTATACGTTTTAAAAAATGATTAAATCAAATAATATAGTGATGTCATACTATTAAATTTCCTAGTGAATATAAACCCTATGTAACTATGAATCGTGTAGGGGCATAACTGAGCCTACATATTTTTTTTTTTCACAAGGATTCAATCTCTTTAAATTCTTCTAGAATAACAATTTGACATAATTTTAATATTAGCAAACTCATTGCTTTAAAACATTTGCAAAATTAATGCAGTTTTTCAGTTATTTATGGATTAGGGATTCCATTTTCACAGAAGTTAATAATTAACTGTTCATCAGACATATCAGTGTTATATTGAGATGCTAAATTTTCTGTGCTTCCTATTGGTTAAAGGAATTGTAGGAGGATGCAATTGCTCTTTCAGCTACAACTTCAGTAAGTTTACAAAAGAGATGCAGAATCATCCCCCGAAGGAAAGTAATCTGGGAAAAGTGTACATGTTGCACACAATCAAGCATTATCCATTTTTCCTGCTTCTAGACTTTGTACTGTATAGAATTGGAGTGTCAGACTTCGTTTTGTGCTTGGCAGATTGAGCAGGATGGGGTGCTATTACTTGTTCTTCTACAGATTGCCCCATCCCTCTCTGCAACTCACTCTGTTTAGATACAAGATTGACCTACAGGGTGAAATCCTGGACCTATTGAAGACAATGGCAGTTTTCTACTGCAGCCCTTGAGTGGGGCCAGGATTTCACCTTAAATATCTCCCGATATATGAATCAAAAAACCATTACAGAACAAGTAAATAAAAACACAAACTGAGACATTATCATACAGTAAATCCTCACTTAAAGTTGTCCCGGTTAACATTGTTTTGTTATTAGGTTGCTGATCTATTAGAGAACATACTTGTTTAAAGTCGCGCAAAGGTCCTTTATAAAGTTGTTTGGCTTGCTCCGTCTGCCCGGTGCTCCAGCCGGGGAGTGGGGTCGGGGCTCAGGGTTTGTCCTGTTCTGCCCACCTGGTGCTCCTGCCGGGGAGCAGGCAAGCCCCCGATCCCGCTCCCCAGCAGGAGCACCGGGTGGGTGGAAAGGGGGCAAGCCCCCACACCTTGACCCCGGTAAACCCCTGCCTCAACCAAGCTTCACAATCATCATTGGTGAGTACCGTATTACATTGTTTGTTTAAAATTATTTAAAACTTACATTGTATATGTATATGTCTTTTGTCTGGTGAAAAAAATTTCCCTGAAACCTAAACCCCCGCTATTTACATTAATTGTTATGGGGAAATTGGATTCACTTAACATCGTTTCACTTAAAGTTGCATTTTTCGGGAACATAACTACAATGTTAATTGGGGAGTTACTGTATCTGCGATAAATCACTCTATAATATTGGAAGATTCTTCACTACTAAATGTTGATGATTGGCAACACTACCAATTTACCGCATTCAAATTGGAAGTGGTTTAAATGCTTCCAGAATAAGACTGGAAATATTCATGATTATATTGTCATGCTAATATTTCTTTCAGCTAAAAGGGATTAGAGAATTTGCTGCATCTTTGGTAGTGATGAGCATTAATGGTAACTTCAGGTAGGATTTGAACATTGCAAAGTGCAGGAATGTTCAAGTCCTAGGGTTTTTATTCAAACCCACCTTTATTTCATAACCACAAGTATTTGTTCATAATTAATAGTTTTATATAGTTTCACAGATAAAGAACATATATATCGTTTTTCCTCTTTTTCTTGATACTCCTTAAAAATCTAATAACATGTTTGAAATTTTTTTTAAAAGCCTCATTCTTTTTATTAAATCAAGCATTGTAATTTTGTTTCTTAAATGTTTCAGCAGTTATTCCAGGGAATTTTATGACCAGTATGCTCAAAGCCAGGAAAAATCTGTGGTCAATAAAATGCAGCAGAAATACTGGAAAACAAAACAAACCCTTATTAAAGTCACAGGAAAGAAGGAAGATGAACATGTTGTGGCTTCAGATGCAGACCTGGATGCAAAACTAGAGGTTTGTAATGAATTTACAATAGACATTAATGATTTAAATCTCTTTGAAAATCTGATAATGTGATTGAGCCTCTGTGTTTGTATGTACATATGTATGTGTACCATACTTTGTAGTTATGTGTATAATCTCATGTGCAGGGTGTGTGGGGGACGGCGGTGGGAGTACTGCACTCTTGGATATCCACTACAGTTAAATATGTGGTGTGTTGTTTGTTTTTTTTTTTAAAAATTCAACAAACCAGCCAACCTCACCTCAGCAGTATTTTGCTTACCAATTAACATTTTATAGTTCTCACGATGCAAAACAGCAGAGCATTGGAAAAGTGTTCAAATGTTGCTGCTGAATTAGCAGAATATTAAAAGAAAAGCTGTTTGAGGGCCCTATAAAATATCATCATTATGGTGGTGGTAAAAATTCTCAGCAATGGAATGGTGAAGTTAAACAAATAACTTTTTGCCTGCTTTCAAAATATTGGGATGAAATTCTGGGAGTTTTTCTGTTGGTTTAGTGGGGCCAGGTTTTACTCTAAGGTTGCTAAAACTTGGAAAATTATTTTAATTTGGATAAATTCTTTATTCAAGCTGTTGTGTAGTGCTTATGCCACAGAATGCCTGTACATAGAATGATCATAGTCTGCCACGTCTTTTGAATGCTGGTTGAAAATTACTATATAAATATAAGATATTTACTGGCTTTTCACAATTAATTTTTTCCCCTCTAAAACTATATTTATTTTAAGACAGGACAAATATTAGGCCCGAAACCCTTGATAATGTGTCTTTCTACTGTAACATATCAGGATACAATTGAGACTGAGTAGCTGTGTCACCCCTGCCCTCCAAATTGGACTGTCCTTTACAATTACTCCGGGAGGAATTCTGCACCACTGTGCTCATGCAGAATTCATGTCCCATGCAGATTTCTTTGCTTCCCTGCAGAAAAATGATTTTCTGATGGGGAAGCAAAGGGAAGCCACAAAAGCGGTCATTCGCCCCTCCCCAGCAGCACGGGCACATCATTTTGGGCATTCAGAGCAGCTGGCAGAGAGGTAAATCATTGCGGGACAGGGGCGAGGCTGAGGACACCCTGGCTGGTGGTTCCTACCCTGTGCTGGGCTCAGCTGCTAGTCCTTGTTGGACTGGGGGTGTGGAAGGACAATACTTCCTCTTCCCCTGCAAGAGCAACCAGGTCATGGTCAGACCCACCCCCTGAAACCCCTCCAGTTGCAGAATGCTCAACACCTCCCCCCCTTTGCTCCAGTTGCTCCTCAGCCGTGGGGAGAGGGGTCACTGTGTGGGGAGCTGCTCCCCTTCTGCCCAACCCCCATGCATCCAGACCCTACCCCCACCCCGCCAAGCCTCAGCCCCTGCATCCAGAGACCCCCTGCACCCAGACCCCACCCCCTCTCCAAGCCCCACCCCTGCTGCATTTGTACCCCCACCCCTGGACCCAGACCACCTCCCGCTGAGTCCCCTGCACTTGAACCCCAGCCCCACTGAGCCCCAACCAGACCCCCACCTCACCAAGCTCCACTTCTCCAGGACCTGGACCCCACAACTGAGCCCCCACACCCAGACCCCCCTGCTGAGCCCCAGCCATCTTCACCTGGACCCCCCTGCAAAGTCCCATTGCCTTGGCACTTGGTACTCCCACAAGGAGCCCCTGTGTACCCAGATACCCCATTAAGCCACCCATTCCCACATTGCCCCAAACAGAACCCTCTCACCCCTCACTAAGCCCCTGCCAGGCTGAGCCTGCCTGCGTACACATGTTGCACCTGGCACAGAGGGGAAGGGCGCTCGGGTGTTTCTGCGGCAGGCCCGGCCCTTGCACTGTGTCAGGGTCAGGCGCCTCACTCTGAGTCTATGTCCTGAGGGAGGTAGGGGCTGCAGGGTGATCTCCCACTGCCATACTGAAGCCTACACATTTATTTATTGACAAATAAAATTTGCAGGCTTTTTATTTTTTGGCTCAGAATTTCCTGTCCAGTATACTATGCCTTGCTGCTATAGCCTCCAGTCTGGACTGCTCACCTACGCTCTCCAGCATGTACGTCACTGCCAGCTATTTTCTCTGTGTGTGCTGTAGCCAACCAGTCACACGCACCGTGGCTCCTACCAGTCTTGATTATACTGCAGGATGGCACCAACACACTCCCAGTCTTAGATTTTCCCCCAGCGATGTATGTCTTGTACTACCCAGCCCTCTCCTGGACAATACGAATTTATATAAAGCCTGTTATTTCTTTAATAGAAATAACATGCACACAACTTGCCATTCGAAATGGATTTTCCCAGACACTTCAGTTTAAACACACTGGATTAGGTAAAACAATAAAGCAAGTTTATTAACTACAAAGAGAGGGATTTTAAGTGTGTGGAAGTAATGAGGCATAAAAGTCCAAAGTGATTACCAGACAATAAAGTTAAAACGCTACTGGTGCCTAACTTAAACTATATCGGATTCAAGGAAATTTTCTCACCATATGCTTTCAGCAGTCTTATTGACCAAACCCTCTAGGTCAGCACCCCTACTCCCAGAATCTAAGGAAGGCTTCCTTTGTTGCTTCAGGTGTAGAGAATTCCATGGACAGGGGGAGAGAGAGACTGGGCCCATTCTGGTGTTTCTCTCCTTTTTATAGTTTCAGTCCCTCTCTTGAAAAACATTTCCAACTGAGATTCAGGAGACGCAGAGCCTTGTGGAAGGATATTCCATGCTGTTTTTTTTTCCATCTGCTTGAACTTCTTTTGTCTCCCCTTCCTGCTTGATGACTCTGTTTACTGCTTAAATGTATAGTAGGCCACACTGAAGTTTTGATTAAGTATGATGAATTGTGTGCTGAGTGTCTCTTACAATATCTTTATATAGTGCCTAGCATAGTGGGGCCCAGATCTCAGTTGGGTCTGAAGGTGCTCTCATAATAGAAATAATAATAATAATAATAATAATTGAAGCTAGGAAATTTTATGTCTCTAATGTGTGATTACACTGGAACAGTGACTACACTGGAACAGAAACAAAACTGATCAGGTTGAACATCCTTTGCAAAGCGATCTGCAGGGATAGATCCTTATGCCAGTAGAGAGTCCCACTGAAGTCCATAAGTTTCCACCACCCATGGACTACTTTGCAAGACAGGGGCCTTATACTGAAAAGCTAGTAGGCATTGTGTTATCTCATATACTCCAATTAAGATGCTTTATGTGTCTGCGTGTACATATACATTTTTCTTCCAAAATAGAGTTTTATACAACTTCATGGCTAGTGCATAGATTTAAAAAAGTCAGTAGAGAAACATAAGAAATAAACATGTTCTTGGTGAACTGTCACTTTATTTTGCAAAAACAAAGAATTGTTTTGTTCTGTTTTTTTTCTTATATTTCCTTTGTATGTTGTTGATCTGTTTATAGTTTCCGTAAACAATTCGAACCTACGACAAGGTTATCGAAGGAAAATCTTACACTCAAGCATGAGAGGGTATTAGAAGCAACACATTTAAAAAGGAAATAATGATTTTTTTAAATTTAAAAGTAATGCAGATTTGTTTTAGAACAAATACTTTTTTTTGTTTTTTCTTTAGAATGTTTCTTGTATGTTTTATAATTAGCTTGTTTTATGTTTAATTTCAGCTGTTCCACTCGATTCAGAGAACATGTATGGAGTTGCTTAAAGCAATTGAACTCTATCAAAAAAGAATTTGTTGTAAGTATAACTAACTACAGTAAAGCAGGGAGGTGAGTCTGCAATATGGAAGTAACTAATGTGTGACAAAATGAAGATGATCATGGGATAAATGCTACTCTCTTCATCCTAGTTAAATTTGAAGCTAACCTTCCATTATAAGCCCTGTTTTGATACTAACCTCCTAATTTGGCCAAACTTCCTCAATTCTCCTGAAATTGTACATGTGTGATACTAGGCCAGGATAGACAGGAGTACCTATGGCAGATAGGAGAGCGTTCAAGAATCAAGCCCTAACTACTTGACTTACCCAAATTCAGAAGTGGCTTATTTTAGAAACTCCGAATTGCTTTTAATCTGATTTTCTTGGTGAGGATTGTGTCTTTTGAGGGATGGATGGGAATTTAGTATGCATTAGGATCAATGGAGGTCTTAACACAACACAGCCATGACACAGAATTGATAGTCAAACTGATCCTGACATGTGGATAGCCACGATGAGTGGCAGATCAGAGAACCACATATTGGGGAGGCTGCGTTATGGTCTGAGGTAGAAAATAAAGTAATGGGGCACTAGTCAGTGAGAGATCCACGCTGATGGGGGTGGCTGGTTCTATTCTGTAGAGTGTTGTAGGTACTTTCCCACCCCCCAAGAAAAGAGTCTCTGAAAAGTCTCAAGATGTAGAGGAAAAGTGCAGTTACACAATAGTTTAATATATCTGAGTTAGTGTTCCATGGTAGCAGTGATGACCCAAGTAAAGTCTTTTGTGTGAAGATTATATAGGGAGAAACATACTCGATTAGATGCAGTGTGGGCATAGAGTGGATTTGGCTAACAAGGGGCCCTTGCTGTAGGGTGACCAGATAGCAAGCGTAAAAAATCGGGACGGGGGTGGGAGGTAATAGGTGCCTATATAAGAAAATGCCCCCAAAATCGGGACTGTCCCTGTAAAATCAGGACATCTGGTCACCCTACCTTGCTGACATCTAGAAATATAACTTGTAGAACAATATTTCAGTTACAATAATGACTATGTCTCTCTTCCTTCACATGTCATTTGTTTTAGTCTGCATGACCTGACATGCAGATGGCCAAGAGAATGGCAGACAGGGAGCTATGTGTGAAGAGTTCTAATCTGGGGGGGCAGGCAAAAGTGATTGCTGCAGGGGACAGCTGATCTGGAGGAGGTCCATGAGGTGAAAGTGGCTGTGAACTTCTGGCATGGTTTAAGGCCACAACCAAATTCAGTTTACTTACTTCCACTCCATAAGTATCCGGTAACATGCCCACTTCCAATCCCCCAGAAAATACACCAGAAAAGTCTTTTAAACTATGCAGCTTTTGAAATACTAGTAGAATCATACAGTAAGCAGACCATCCAGCAATTAACTTAAAAAGAAAATCACACATTTTTTCTAAGAATTAAATCCCCAACTAAATAATACAATAATAGAAAAGGGGAGAGAGATTTTAAGGGACCAGATCATCAGCTGGTGTAAATCAACATTGGCTTCAATAGAGCTATGCTGTTTTATATCAACTTAGGATCTGGCTCCATGAGCTTAAAAAAAAAAAAAAAAAAAAACCTACCAAGGGAAATAATATTGTCAGGCCACAGTAGGCTCCTTCATATGATCTGACCAAGATAATATCTTTATTCAAGCAATAAATAGCACATTCGCTTGTTGCCTTTCAGCCAGAGATCATTTTGCGGTTCTTATTACGGTACACCAAACTCACTGACAAGTGTGTTCAAGTAAATCTGAGCTTTCGTTTCATAAATGCAGGAACTGCATGAAGGTTAATTAGAAAAACCATTTTTTGTGCTGTGCTGCTTGGATCGGAAGTGACTTGTTACCCTATTTTTGCTGTTGACATTTTTAAACAGTTTAAAATTCTGTTACATTGCATATATATGACTGATCATTCCTTTTTCATTAGTTTTGTCTCAGGAAGAAAATGAATTGGGGAAATTTCTTCGATCACAGGGTTCTCAGGATAAAACCAGAGCAGGAAAAATGATGCAGGCCACAGGAAAGGCCCTCTGCTTTTCTTCTCAGCAAAGGTATGTCAGCTTCAGTAATTGTTACTCCACGGCTTCGTTCATGTTGGACCAAATTTTGTGCTCTGACATTTTTTCAGTGTCCTCAATGACTGGCTTGAAATACTCCATTTTGAGCTGAACAGTGTGGCTGCTTGGCTCAAAATGAAGCATCACATGCTGAACATTGGGAGCTTGATATGTTCATCTTAGATTTGAATTTGACTGTTGGCACAGCTAGTAACAGCCACAGGTGGGATCTTCAAAAGCATATAAGTCTCTTAGGAACACAAATCCCACTGACTATGCTCCTGAGTAGTCTAGATGTTTTTGAAAATCCCTCTCTTTAGCTAATTATCTGACACACATCCAATTATGCAAACTCTTGCATGTGGCAAACTATGTTCTTTTAGAATGCCAGTAAATGTGCCTTAACCCCTCACCAAAGCCCCAGTTCCCCATAAGTAATCCTGTATCATATGAAAACTTTTTTATATTTATAAATATTCAGAGCCAGAATCAACATTTTCATCTTTATTTAAGCCAACGTAAAGAGAGAGCCACATATGTCCTTCCCTTGCTCAGTCTGCCAGTTCTCCTCTCCACCTCTGTGACCCACCCTCCTCCTAACAAGTCAGTACTGCAAGTTATTGTGTCATCAGCCTCTGGCCACCTCAGTAACGGAAGATCAGCCAGACGTAGCAGCTCCCTGGATGTGCCAGCCCTACACTAACTAGACATTCCCCTATGCTAAGAAAATCCGCAGGTAGCTACTTAAAGCAGATTTTAAAGCTGGTTTACGCCACTAATAGGCTGTTGAATGTATCTCCGTGAGGCTGCTGCTGGCTACAGGCAGGGGAAAGCAGCAGCTAGAGGTCGGAAGGGCAAGTTAGTAGTGGGTAGGATTTTTTGAGAGCCTGTTTAAGGGGAGGATGTGGGAGTGAGTGGGGGAGCTGTTATCCCCAACTGCCTCTCCATATTGCTGGGTCTGAGAGTATGGCAGAACATGCCTTAAAACTTTATAAAAATAAACAGAATTATTCAAATTCCTTTGAAAATTCAGATAAATTATCTGCTTGACTGATGACTTCAGTGTTACCTGCTCATATCAAGGTTACATTCTTAACTCTACCATTAACCTAAAATGCAGTTTAACATTACAGTCCTGGTACATCTGTGGTATGTGGCTAGTAACAGGTGCTTTATCACAGGTTTTGTGACTGTTAAATGTAGTTCCCATTTGCTAATTTCACTCGTCTGAACCTTTTAATTGACACACATACACTAATAAATTTTGCAGTTAATCAAAAATACACTGAAAAAGGTTCCTCTGTTACTGATTTGAGAAGCTGAAAGTAATTGTGAAAATCATGACACCTGTGCAGAAAACATGCACAACATAGACGTAAAGAGATCCTCTTCACTTATGACCCCAAATGAGTCTTTAGACCCTCTCACATGTTGTAGTCATTTCAGTGAATTCCTTTTAGACTGACATGTCCATTGCGCACTTTTTAGAAATGGCTCCAGGATGTGTATATTTGTTTGATTGCTATTTTAAAAAAAGCAACAACTATTATCTTTATGGATCAGTCCAAAATATATGTTTTGGGGTTTGTTTGTTTTTTTTTAAAAAAAAGGTTGGCATTACGTACTCCTTTGTGCAGACTATACCAAGAAGTGGAGACTTTTAGATATAGGGCTATATCAGATACATGGCTGACCGTAAACCGAATGGAACAGTATCGGACTGAATACCGAGGAGCGCTACTGTGGATGAAAGATGTCTCTCAAGAATTGGATCCAGATCTTTACAAGCAGATGGAGAAGTTTAGGAAGGTATGTTTTTTGTGGTTTGCTGGAGGGGGAAGCATGATAAATGGTAGTGAAGCATGATTTTGATTCCTGTGAGGAAGACATTCAACAGCACTGAGGATGCAATTAATCATAACTGATCTTTTCCGTGTGACACAATACCCATTAATTTGATATGGAATATTATATCTTTCACAGATGATAAGGCTAAGGGGGAGAGAAAGTGGCAAGAAATCACAGTTCTTAACTCCCTGGTTCTGATTAGAATACATTTTTGTATTTATATAATATATATTTTTAAATGCTTTACTGAGGGAAACAACTGAATGATTAAGAGAAGGAGATATGTCTGCGCTCAACAGTGGTAGAGAAGATTGATGATGCTACTAGAAAGTATGAAAATTCTGTATAGACTAATAGAAATGCCATAATATTTGTTGCTGAGTTGAACTGTTTGGGCTTGGTTAAAGGCCAAGATTTTCAAAAGTGACTAGTGATGTTCTTTAGGTGTCTTATTTTTTTTCAGTACTCAATTCGGGACACCTTAAAGAGGGTTGCTTTTTCAGAAAGGGCTCAGCACTCAACCTTCAAAAATCAGGCCCTTTCAAGGTATTTTAAGTTTGGCACTCGAAATCTAAAGTACTCAATCACTATTCACTCTCGAAAAGCTTAGCCCAAAGCTATCACACCTCAAGGTAGCAATGTAGGAGTTACTTAGACTATGTCTGTGCTACAGAGCTTATGTCAGCATTGCTGAACCTAGTGTAGGCTCAGGCCCAGATTTTTAAAGGTATTTAGACATTGATTGCTCTGCTCAGCGTTTCAAAAGGGATTCAGGCCCTGAGGAGCTTAAATCCCATTAACAGCACTGTGTGCAGCAGCAGCTAAATACCTTTAAAAATCTGGGCCTCAGTGTATGCAGATAGAAGTTCTTCTGCCAGTGTAGAAACACCACCTTTCAGAACGATGTTAGCTATGCCAACAAAAGCACTCTTCTGTTGGCATAGCCGCATCTACACTGGGGGTTTTGTTGACATAACTATGTCAGTCGGGGATTTTTTTTCTTTTTCACACCGCTGACCAACATAGCTATGACAATATAAGTTTTAAGTGTAGACCATACTGATCTCCTTTGGGTCAATTCATTCTTAGGAGGCCTTTACAGTCGTAGCTATAGGACTGGTGGCTGTTCTCCCTATAGAATGTAGAGCTCGTAGTTTTCTTGCTGTTATGAATCTGGATTTGAGTGAGGGGGCAGAATTCTGGATCGCAGGCAAAGACCTACACTCTGAATAAATTCATTTATAATGTAAACAGAAATGGCATAATAACAGAAATGGCAAAATATTGTAGGTCATTGGCTTGAGATCTAGAAGTTACTTTGGTACATATCTGCTCCAAAGAAAGTTGTGTGAAAGAGAACTTGCTCTCCTTGAAGCTTAAACTAATTGTCTGTCTCTTTTAACTGGAAATATTTTGAGATGAAGTAAATGTTTTCATATGATCATAACACGCAATATATTGTTTATTTTCCAGGGAAGGGGTTAAAACTTGAATCAAACACTGATAGGAAAGAATTAGCAGGTTTAGTTCATATTAATATTTGTGAATGCAAGCTGTGACAATAGCAGTGAGGATGGGAGGGATAAAATTTCCAAATCTTGACATAATTTTTCTTTAATGCGGATATGCCTGCAAATCTCAGGGCACCCGACTTGTATTTTATTATGTCTGATGCAGGGGTGAAAGTAACTTAAAGGACTTACCAGTACACCGGAGTCCTTAGCAGGGGGGTAGGGCCTGAACCAGAAGGGGCGGGGCCTCACTCTAAGAGGTGGGGCCTTTAAATCCCCGGGCCCTTTAAATCAAGATTTAAAGGGCCCGGGGCTGCGGTAGCGGTGGCTGGAAGCCCCGGGCCCTTTAAATCACTGCTGGAGCTACCAGCTGCGGAGGTAGCCGGGAGCCGTGGGGTGCAAGGGCAATTTAAAGTGCCCGGGGCTCCCAGCCGCTGTGGCTACCCCGGGGCTCTGATGGTGATTTAAAAGGCCCGGGGCTCCGGCTACCACAGCAGAGCCCCAGGCCCTTTAAATCGCTGATGGAGCTCCGGGGGCTCATGGCTGGCACCACTACCCCTGGACTCTGGGGCAGATTTAAAGAACCCGGGGCTCCGCTGTGGTACTGGCGGCTTGGAGCCCTTGGCCCTTCGGCCGCTGCTACCACAGCGGAGCCCTGGACCCTTTAAATCATCTCCGGAGCCCCGGGCCTCCAGCAGCTCAGCTCCAGCGGCGATTTAAAAGGCCTGCGGCTCCCTGCAGCAGCCAGAGCCCCAGGCCCTTTAAATCACCACCGGAGCCCCTGGGCTCCGGCAGCAGGGCTCTAGCAGCAATTTAAAGGGCCTGGGGCTCCGGCCGCTGTTGGGAGCCCCAGGCCCTTTCAATCGCCGGCCTAGGGAAGCCGGTCTGGTACGGCGCACTGGTTCTTGCCAGTACGCCATACTGGACCGTACTGGTTTACTTTCACCTCCACCCTAGTGGGAAACTTTTATAATGGCAGGTTCTTGCAGGCTAAATGATCAGTCTGGTTCCGGCCTTGGCTAATTTCTTATGTGTAACGTTTGATGGAGTGGAAATGCACTATAAAAGGAGTGTTTGAATAAAGAACTGAAAAGTAGTATTGATAATGGTCATTCAAACTGATTTATGCTTTTCTTGGGAAACAAGCGATGTGGAAGATCTACACTGTGAAATAGAGAGAGTAGTTAAGATAATGAGGGTTTTTATAGGAAGCTTGTTAAAATCTTGTCCATGAAATGTAAGTGTTCTCGGGATGCTATGCCTCAAAGTTGGCAATGAAGACTTCTAAAAGTTGCAATGAATGTTTTATCTTAGAGCTTTTAGGAGCTTTTGCTTCTTGTTTACAATAATGCCTCTGGGAGCCATGTATTTTGAAATGTATAATTCTGTAAGCAGTTTTGTCTGTTACAGTTACATCAAGTTGGTTTATTTCTTTAACTGTTTACCAAAGTTCTGTTGCTTTGCTGCAGAGGAGAAGGTTAAAAACTTTATTAGGCTGAAATCTTTAATTTCTCCCTGTCGCTCCCATCCCCAGCTATTATTTAATATTAAACTTTTCAGACCACATTGGAATGCCAAGTACAAAAATCTCTACATTTTACAGCCAACAAAATATATGTATCCTATTTTTGAATAAAGTGTTTGATATTGACTACCCCTATAGTTCCTTCTCACACTGAACAACTGCTGTGTCAGACTGGTCATTGTGTATTCAAAGGTTGTTAGCCCTCTTATAGAAAATGATCTTGTCTCCTCTAACATTGGGGGACACTTTGGATTGCTTTATGCCTAAAGATTTTTGTAGACCGGTTTTATCTAACAAGTTATGGTGGTGCTCATGCTACTCCATGGACAGTTTAAGTAGGGTTCAGATACTGTAGTTCTCAACAGTAGAAATAGCTGAGTTGTTTGTTCTCCTCTTGCTTGCAAATCTAAATTGTGCCATAATGTGGCAGTGTTCGACTGTGTTTTTTTAGATGAAGTTGGGATTTATATAATTACAACTGAGAAATCATGTGGTAGTTTTGTGTTCAGTAAAAGACCTTGTGCACTTCGGAAAAACAAAATCTGTAAATATAATGCCGACTTAGAGGAAAAATAAAGCATTTGCTTTGGGTGCTGCATATTCAATGTTGCAAGTAGTTAGTGAGGTTGAGTCCAAATCCCTGGAGGGTTATTTTAAAAATGTTTTTAAAAGTGCTATTCAGACTTTTGATTGCAAAGAGACTACAGTATTTATTTTAATAGTAGTCTTTTTTTTTTTAAGCTTTTTAAGTAAACATTTGTGGTTTTAATTTCTCATAGTTAATGTGTGAAGAAATCCACCTTTGGCAGTATTTATATCACTTGGTCATATGAATGTTTGTTGGAATATATATCCTTTCCTAATGATATTCTAAATATAATACATATACCATTGTAAATCTGGTGGCTTTTTTTTTTCAGAGACTAAAGTAAATTCATATAGACGAGTTTCTGATATCCTTCCTCAAAAAAAGCAGGATTTACCCACTAAAAGACCAGCAGTCCAAACGGTATTGTTAGAGTTGATAACATGGGAGTTAAACCACTAGCATTTTTTGTAGCTCTCTTTCAAAACAGCAGAGGTACTTGGGGCACACGTTTACCGTTGCTGTAGGCAGGGGCACCATGGTGCGTGAGCATGCTGAACCCTACAAAGTCTCCGCACTCATTTGGTTGAGTGTGGCTTTCCATTGGTAACATGAAATATGACCTTTTTTATTGTTTGTTTGTAAGACAATTGCATTCCTTATTGTGTAAAACCAGAGAAGGAGTAAGTCATTCTCTTCTTCCCTGCACACTTCAACAAATCTTATGCGCCTTTGACCTTTTTTCAATTAACAGATTACATGGGCACACTAAGGTGGCTCTACGTGTAATGTAACCAGCTACCTGGTGTTCCATCTTACATTAAGAAGACTCAAAGTTACCTGCTCTTGGCTTTGTTACTTCATGCTGACCTTTATGTGATTATAAGGGAAATCTTATGTGTCACAGGGCTGGATGTACATTGTGCATCTATTTACATACCAAATTACTCTTTTCTGTATCTCTTTTCTTCCTCTTCCATTGTTATTCTCCACCCCACCTCCCCTCATTCCTGGGATTTGGACTGCACCATTCCAGAGTAGTGGGGTTTTCAAAGTTGCCAGATTGGGACCTCTCAGTGAAGCTGAGCCACCATCAACTAGAGTTGTAAGGTTCAAGGGGGTTGGCCCATTATCTCATCTTTCCCCTTCAGCTTGAGGCACATGCTTTCCCTAGCAGCTTGAGGCCCAATTAAACAAGCATGAGAAAAGATAAATTTAAGGTGGAAGAAGTGGTGCAGGGACTCAGTCAGCAGTGCAGCTTTGTAGTCTTCCCTTATGGGATTCTTCTGCCTGGAGTGCATTGCAAGTCCTGCACTTGTGTGGTGCTCAGATGCTATGG